CCTCGCCACAACCATGATTTGAGGAGTGAGCCAGAGGGTGGGAAGATCTTTCTCTCTCTCTCTTTTTAAAAAGAATTATTTATTTGAAATGCAGAGAAACAATCACAATTTTATTTAAGAATAAATATAGAGCTTCAGGATTTTCAATCAAGAAAACATCACTCCGTAAATCAATGGAAAACTTTAAGACAACTGTATCTAGAAGGACACTGTGGAATATTTCAATTCCAATGTTAAATTGAATCTCATCACAATCCAGATGCAGTGAAGGGAAAGAACTTGAATGGGGGAAAGAATATACTGAACATAGGTAGTACAGAAAAAATGTGCACTTTAAAGCAGACAGGAAAGCTTACAGTTTCTTTGAGTTAATAAACTCTCAGTAAAAATAGTAACCCACAATGCTAACACTTGCCTACAACTTGGGTACTGACTGATGTTATAAAATGCTGACAGTAATAAAATCAAATAAAAATAAATAAAAAGTGATGTTCATATCATTGGATAAATTGTGATTAGGATAAAACTGAGCAGTTTGGTATGAATAATTACTAAGTGGCAACTAAACAAAGAGATTTAGTGAAAATGGCCTTTTAAATCATATTTTTAAAACAATTGCATATCGCAGGAAGTTAAGAGAATGTAACCCAAAAGAAGAACCCTGACATAAAGATTTCTTCATATAAAATATGGCATATGTCCTAAACAGCACTCTGGTCTCAGAATCAGCCCTTAAGGCATTCAGATCTGACTGAAGAGCCCATGAGAGTATTTTAGGCAAGGAAAGCCAAGACACACTGGAAAAAAAAAAGACCTAAATCAAAGACCTCTGCAACTGACTGCAAGTGAGATCCCAGTGGAAAGAATGGGCCATCAAAGAAGGAAGTACCTTTTTCTGAAGGGAGGAGAGAACCTCCACTTTTACTATGACCTTGTCTAAATAAGATTGGAGTCGGTGAACACAAAAGGCTTTCATAGCCTTGGAAACTCATGACAAGAGCCTATGGTGATTATTTACGCTATAAACAAGAGTGTCAATATGTTAAATCAACAACAAGAGTCACTGTGCACTTACTCCTCATGTAGGACCTCTGTCCTTAATGTGTTGTACAATGTGAATTAATGCTATAACTAGTACTCAAACAGTATTTTACACTTTGAGTTTCTGTGTGGGTGCAAACTGTTGAAATCTTTACTTAATGTATGCTAAATCGATTTTTTGTATATAAAGAGAATTGAAAATGAATCTTGATGTGAATGGAAGGGGAGAGGGAGCGGGAGATGGGAGGGTTGTGGGAGGGAGGGAAGTTATGAAGGGAGCCTTTGTAATCCATAAACTGTACTTTGGAAATTTATATTTATTAAATAAAAGTTAAAAACATAATGCTATTGAAAATGTTAACAGTAGTGATAAATTTGGAGATCCCTACAAACTTCCAAATAGCAAAAAATTGTGTGATTCTGATAGCATGAAGCAGTACATTGATGTTAGACCAATCAGAGATACTATGTACAGGAAAGATTCCAAGATAACCTAGAAAATTTCCATGCGACTTGTAAACCTACAATGAAAAAGCCACATATTCATAATGCAAGAACCAGTATACCTAAGAACCTGAAATTATATATGAGTGATAGCATTAAATTCAAAGGCAAAAGAAAAAAAGAATTTAAATGCTATGACAAAAATGATATGGTGGCAACTCTAAGTGGATAGAGTAATTTTGTAAAAAAAAAAAAAAACACACAATTAATGCCAAGAAAATGTGACAATTTTTAGTGAACAATTATTCCTTAATATTACATCTAAACACCATGTGAAATTTTCAGAAACTAAAATCCAGAAAAGATAATTTCCTTTCCATAGTGATTTTAAAGGAACACCAGCATCAAGAAAATCCATAAAATCAATAAAGACTTAAAAACATCCTTGAAAGAGGAAAAGAGAATGCTGGTCTCAGATGGATGTGGGATGTTTTGAAGATAAACATTTCTTAGGTTCCTTACAAAATTTTGAGAGAACTGACAACACAATCAAAAGCCAACAAATATGGCCACATGTTCACGGTGCTAGCATTGGTACATACTGTGATTAGATAATATAATTGGACAATAGTCATAAATTCAAATACAAGTACAAGTTTAAACTTTTCTCTATCAGGGTACAAATATATTGGAATAACAATGACTAGAACTGTTTTTATAGGAGTGAAACTACAATAAGAACATTAAGATCATTTCATAAAAAATAGTCCACTGAATTCTTTAAAATGCAAAACAGGAAGAATGAGTGGAAATAAAGCAAAAATTTTGAAAATTACCAGATAAACATTGATGGAAAGATATTTGTATCTAAATCCTTGAAAATTAAAATTTTATAGTCCTCCAGAATTCCAGGAAAGCTAAAAAAAATCCTCTAGGAACTGAGAAAGATTGGGTTAAGATGGCCTGAGAATTTGGGGCACAAAATAGTTGCAGAGAGAATTCAAAACATTTCCATCATGTTGATGTCAGAGGAAGAAGCCACTCAAATAAGATACTGATGATATAAACAGGTCACACAGTGAATAAAGACAACAATTAAAAATGAGCATTTTACACATGAATTACATTTTGATGATTGTAATTAGAATATAGGATACATAATTGAGCGATCAATAGACATAAAGGAATTTGGTGAACAATAATCCAGTAAATATTTTTACCATGAGAAAAATTTTAAAATCAAGGAAGGTAAATCAAGGAATATTTTTGGTGCCTTAATTCTTTAATTATTCTATCATTTTCAACTTTTGGCTTATGTCCATTGAAAGTATCAAGTGAATATCCTTGTGCATATATCTCTCTTCACAATCCTGATAATTTTATTTTCATTCTTTTTCTAAAATTTTATTTTTTTATACAATTTTCATGTATTTTATATGTAGTGATTTAGAAACACTGTGATATTGCTCACCCTACCCTCCCTTTCATCCAGGTTCCAACCCTTCATCCTCCTCCCTCTCCCATTACCACTGTTAAATTTTCAAAGATCTACTTTCAGTTTAATTAATGTTTGTAAATTTAGCCCCAAATTAAGTAAAAGAGTTCAATAAACAGTAAAAGGAAAACGAAAAAAAAATAATTTTCATCAAATTGATGAAACCACAATGAAAAATAAACCAGGATGAGCTACAGTTTTCTGTGCCAGGATGAGCATACACTACATCATGATGTATACATGTCACAGAAATAAAAGATGAGGATATAACCCATAATCTGATTATAGGGAGTAACAGCAATAATGTAGGAGCAATAGCATAACAAGCATATACAACAGGATTGGATCAACCCACATGTATTAAATTTGCATTTAACTTGATAAACAAAAGAAGAAATCAATATTTGTAAGTAAGGAAAATATGCCATTTATTTTTTTTTACTTTTATTTAATGAATATAAATTTCCAAAGTACAGCTTATGAATTACAATGGCTTCCCCCCCATAACTTCCCTCCCACTTGCAACCCTCCCCTTTCCCACTCCCTCTCCCCTTCCATTCACATCAAGATTAATTTTCGATTCTCTTTATATACAGATCAGTTTAGCATACATTAAGTAAAGATTTCAACAGTTTGCTCCCACACAGAAACATAAAGTGAAAAATACTGTTTGAGTACTAGTTGTAGCATTAAATCTCAATGCACAGCACATTAAGGACAGAGATCCTACATGAGGAGTAAGTGCACAGTGACTCCTGTTGTTGACTTAACAAATTGACACTTGTTTATGGCATCAGTAATCACCCTGGGCTCTTGTCATGAGCTGCCAAGGCTATGGAAGCCCCCGGAGTTCACCAACTCTGATCATATTTAGACAAGGCCATGGTCAAAGTGGAAGTTCTCTCCTCCCTTCAGAGAAAGGTACCTCCTTCTTTGATGACCCGTTCTTTCCACTGGGATCTCACTCTCGGAGATCTTTCATTTAGTTTTTTTTTTTTTTTTTTTTTTTCCCCAGAGTGTCTTGGCTTTCCATGCCTGAAATACTCTCATGGGCTTTTCAGCCAGATCCGCATGCCTTAAGGGCTGATTCTGAGGCCAGAGTGCTGTAGAAAATATGCCATTTATAACAACAACAAAAAAAAAACCTTAAATAAAAGATACTGGCATCTACAGTTACACTTATGTACAAAAACTACCAAAGATAAAAGTATATTACCTAAAAATGGAGAATGAAAATAAGAGCCAAAAGTCTTTCTGATGAACTATATACATATAAATGGCCAACAAAATTAATAAAATTTTGAGTATTTTTGTGATCTTCCAATATAAAATCCAAGCAACATATGGATAGGTTTGGTTCTAGGATGGGCTTTCATTACACTACTAATCATTTACACAGGTGATAAGAATACATTCAAAGACAAAATGAGATACACAAAGAGGTGTATTGGTTAGAATAAAATTTATATTATATTTTCAAAATTATGAGTAACATTCAATTAATTGAGAGTAACAATATTAATGTGACAAGCACAATAAAGAGATTTTTGTGGAAAATAGCCCATATATATATATATATATAATTTATTTATTTATAGATTTGTATATAAAACAAAACTTTAGAAATGCATACATAAATATAAAATCTATTATCTAAAAAATATAATTTAGAGTTCCATAATAATCTAGCTACTGGTCATTACAAGAATGGGGAGCAAGCCACCAGCTGTAGCTCATAGTTTCTGTCTCTCCCTCTCTACCAACCTCTAAAATTAGATAAATATATACAATCTTTAGATCAAAACCACATCAAGATCCAGACACTTATCCACATAATTATCAGGAAATGTGCCAATATCTAGACACACAGTGCAAAATTTGAATAATCAAAAAACTCAATAATCAAACAATGAATTAGAGTTCCATAAAAATCCAGAAGTTATTTATATATATATATATAAACATATATATACATATTACATATAGCTGATTTTTTTTTTCATGTATATGTATATATTACCTTGAGAAGAGAGAATGATTATGCTTGGCTAAGATGGCTATGAGACAGTGTATACCTGAATGTTTCCAGGAGAACTTATAGAATGTTGGGTGTGACGGTGATCTCACAATAAAAATTTAAATCATCAGACAATGGTCACAGGGCTGGGATTAGCCTAGACTAGAATATCTGTGAAAAAGAGTGAGTTCAGTGAATTCAAGGTTCAAAAAAATTTACCTAAATTTCCAAAGTAAATGGTTAATTTCAAGATCCATGTATGTATATAAGGCTAAAAATGAACTCCCCAGCTAATGAGACTGATGGAACTACCCTAGTTTGTTCTCAGGTACTGTGAATATAAAATTTGTTTGGACAACTTCCAGAAATTGAAGAGTTGATGCCCTAACAATGATAAAGAACATCATGGTAGCCTTAAGTTTCCTGCACTAGAATTGGCACAAATTAGATTATTGACTATTTACTCAGGCTACAGTAAACAAAATCAAATACAACATGAAAAGTAGAGAAATGTGACAATTTTATATATGTGGTATATTGACTATTGGATATACCAATGGAAAATTTGGTAGAAGTAGAAATAAGGCCCCAAGAAGATGTAACAGACATAGATAAAAACAGCCCTAAATAAACATTTAAGCTACAGAAAATTTGTACTTTCTTAAATCAAGGAAATTGTATGCCAATGAATTCAATAATCTTAGAGCCAAGATAACAGTATCTCAACCTAACGTATGGAAAATTTAAAATGAATGCCAATTTTGAGTCTCTAAAAATAAAGAAGCTATAAAACACATGTATACTTGAAAGTGAAACAATGTAATATCCAAAAGTGATGTTATAAAACATGAAGATGGAGGTTACTAATACAACCTGAACAATTTTGAGTAAATTCATGGCATTATTAGGTAAATGCAAAAAGAATGGCCATACATTGGCAGTGCTAAGATTAGATTTCATGTGGATATTGATATACATAAAATAATAAATTAAAAATGAAAATAAAAATACAAACCTGATGCACATGGCAAGGGAAAAGTTTGCTTTGCCTTAAGTAACAATGAGTATTATAGTGTGAGACATAATTTAAAGACAAACATGTGGATGGGTATTTCTATAAAAGGGTCCAGAATAAACTGGAAAAATTGTAGAACGGCAGGGACATGTATTTTGGAAAATTCCTGAAATCAGAAAATAATTTACAGCTCCAGTAACATCCAGAAAGATATAGTATCCCATGCTGATGACCATGATGGTACTGGCCCCATAAGGTGCCGAAATCCTGTACTCATGACAGTATCTAGGACAACTTGCAGCATTTAAATTGAGTTTATAACCACAGAATCATAAACAAAACTATGACACCTACTGTTCCCCTGTGCTAGTATTGTCATAAATCAGGTTATTAATTACACATTCAGGTAGCAGTGGTAAATTCTAAGACAAAATAAAGAGATATACACTCTATATAAGACAGTTCATTTCGATTACATATTGTACAAATTAGTAATTTGGGAGAAAGAGTCAAAATCATATAGAGATGGCATGGAGGAATACGAAACTTAAAATTACATTAAAATAATAAAAATGTCAGGAACTTAAATTGGAAAAGACCATGCTGACTAATATATTAACTTTTAGTGAGCATACAAGTACCTTGACCAATAAATATTTATGGTCAAATTTAGATTTTTGAGTACTAAAAAATAACAAATTGTAAACAGAATACATTAACTTGAACATCTGAAAGGGTCTGCTGTAGTGACACAATTTTGGACAATCATGTGCATGGAAGGAGTGAGACACCTTACAGAAATGTGAGCCACTTGATGACTTCAAAAAAAGAATGCTGACTAGAATGAGCAAATGCTTTCAGGGCTATGATTGGCATGTATTTTGATATTGAGTAGTAGGGAATAATTTTGTAGAAGTCGTAGGGAATAATGTATTATTGACAAAACAGTATACAGGAATGTTGTGGAAAAGAAACATATATATATGTATATATACATACACATATATGTATATGTATAAAGTTATGAAAGAAAATAAATTTAACAGATCTTAAAACAAGAATATTTCAAGTATCTTAACAAAATATATTTGAAATATAATACTGATATGAAGAAATGACTTTGTAAATATTTCCAAAATCAAGTGAAAGTGTGTAGTTACAAAAGAGTCCATGAAATTTAACAAAATATCTGACCTGCAAAGGAGAATGATGACACTGATGAAAATGATTTATGCAATGTTGTGCATGAACATTGTCTGAAAACTGGAAAAATTTAGGTAAAGTTGATTACATTACAAAGATAAATTAACCCAAGATTGCCACAGGTAACTTGTTCTATCATTGACATTAAGTTACACTTTTAATGAAAAAAATAAAGGCAATAGTAATGAATTCAAAAATAGAAATGGAATAAAGTATGTATTCAATGACATAAATTTATGATCATGTTCAACTGAAGTGTAATTTTAAAAATAAATTATTCAGATATGGCATGGCACATTACATTTTAATAACTTGTAATTTGTATTTATAGAATTTTAAGCAGACATAGGTGAAATTTTTAAAAAATAGGCCTAAGATTATATTTACAAAAGAGTACCTAATTACAGGAATATAATGCAGATCAAAATTTTTAAAGATTTATTTTATTTATTTGAAAGACAGAATTCCACAGAGAAGTAGAGAGAGAGAGAGAGAGAGATTGGACTTCCATCTGCCAGTTCACTCCCTGAATGGCACTATGGCAAAGGCTACTAAAATCCTATTCCAGGAGCCAGGAACTTCTACCTGGTCTCCCACATGCGTGCTGAGGCCCAAGTATTTGGGCCACCTTCTTGGTTTCCCGAGCATATTAGCAGGGAGCTGGATCAGAAGTGGAGCAGCCAGGACGTGAACTGGTACCCATATAGGATACCACAGCTGCAGGCTGGGGCTTTGACCTGCCACACCACTGCATGGACCCCTAGACCAATTAATGTTACTTAGCATAATAATTCTGAAACAAAGATAAAAGTGTGTTAATGTAGCATGTGGAAATTTTCAAGATCAACATTAAATTATGTGTACCATTGAATCTATAAAATGTTCTAAAGCACATGTACTCTTGGAAGGGTGAATGGTCCACTATTTCAATACAGTTCTCAGGAAACGTGCAAATGAATGTTCTGAAATGATGTATGGAATTTTGTTTGAAATGATGAACTCACAATAAAAATGGCAAGAAAATTTAAGAGTGAAAGTCTGATGTTAGCTCTTCAAGGAAGATGGAAGAGAAATATAGATGAAAACGATAAAATGCAACAGGAAATAAGACTTAGATGCACATAGTATGCTAAAAAAATTCAAAATGTCTGTGAACAGAACTGAGTCATTCTTTAGGAATGATAACAAAGTAGTGAACACATATACAGTAAGTGGATGAAGATATCAATTAAATTAACTCTTAAAGAATAAAAAGAAAATTGTCATTTTTTTTTTTGACAGGCAGAGTTAGACAGTGAGAGAGAGAGAGACAGAGAGAAAGATCTTCCTTTTGCCGTTGGTTCACCCTCCAATGGCCGCCGTGGATCTGCGTGCTGCGGCCGGCGCACTGTGCTGATCCGATGGCAGGAACCAGGTACTTATCCTGGTCTCCCATGGGGTGCAGGGCCCAAGGACTTGGGCCATCCTCCACTGCACTCCCTGGCCACAGCAGAAAGCTGGCCTGGAAGAGGGGCAACGGGGACAGAATCAAGAAACCAACATGTCTCATAACAAAGTCAAGTTAATGGAATATAAGTATACAGAATTACACTTTGGAAAATAAAATAACCAAGGTAAATATCTTTTCCATACAATTCACAATTTGGTATATATATTGCATATATAGCCAAGTGTATTTGCTTCTGAAAAATTATGAACAAGAAAGTTACACAGACACTTCATGAAAGGATATGACATGGTCACCTCCCAACGAAAAGCAGGCCAGGGTAAGCCCAGGTTCCCCATGTTAAAATTAAAACAACATAGGCTGGCGCTGCGGCTCAATCAGCTAATCCTCCGCCTGTGGCGCCAGCACACCAGGTTCTAGTCCTGGCCGGGGCACGGGATTCTGGCTCAGTCACTCCTCCTCCAGTCCAGCTCTCTGCTGTGGCCCGGGAGTGCAGTGGAGGATGGCCCAAGTCCTTGGGCCCTGCACCCACATGGGAGACCAGGAGAAGCACCTGGCTCCTGGCTTCGGCCACAGCGGCCATTGGAGGATGAATTAACAGTAAAGGAAGACCTTTCTCTCTGTCCCTCTCTCTCACTGTCCACTCTGCCTGTCAAAAAAAATATTACATCATAGCATGGTAATGACCATAGCACTGCTACGGAGCACTGCTACAGAAGTGTAAATAATCTCGTTACCTGCAAATCAAAATTGTCCCAAAATAGGTGTGATATTTTGCATTTTATTTTATTGTTGTGGTTAGAAAATAGAACTTTGGGAAAGAAGTTAAAGAATCCCCAGCAGATGTAATGGACATGATTGAAAATTATTCCAAAATTTCACTTACTAAAATGTAAAATTTGCAGGAATTTAACCTAAAATGTTTATGGTACTCAGGGAAATGATGTTAAATTAAGTATACCAATTAAGTATACCACCGTGTATTATTCAACAGTTACAATTATTATAGTGTTTTTTTTTTTTTTTTTTTTTTTTTTTTTTTTTTTTTTTTTTTGAGGCCAACTCTGCTTTTGTTGCACAAGAGCTGCTCCATGGCTGCCAGGAGCTCGGGATTCAGTAGCCATGCGCCTGGGGCTCGGCCAGCAGCCCGAGGTCCTCCAGCACAGCTGGGTCCCACGAGAAGGTCAAGAGGGCGAAGGGCACCTGGGGGCAGAGCAAGCGCCACCCTGCTGCTGGGGGGCAGCACGCGGCCCTGCTGTCTGACTTCCCGGGGCCCCGCGCCCAGCCCGGGCACCCCTCCCCAGGGTGCACTCCTTCAAGGCCAGGTTCTCCTCCAACAGCTTCTGCCCCCCTGAGGCCAGCAGCTCCAAGGGCAGCCAGCCACTCTCCAAGGCCTCCCGGATGAAGCAGTACAGGGCCGACAATCGCTTGCAGGCATATAAGGTCCCTGCGGGCAGGACGGTCAGGGCCGACTGGACAGCACGCACCCTGACCCTGCCCTCCTGGGGCACTGAAGACCCAGCACCCCCCCGCGCCCCCTGCAGCAGGCAGCCATCTGGGAGGCACACGTGCAGCAATGTGAACCTGTACCCATGCAGCGCCCTCTGCTGCTCCTCCTCGCGCCTGGCCTTAGCCCGCAGCACGTTCAGCAACTCCACCGCATCCGCCCTGAGCCTCTGCTCTGGCTTCACCTCTTCTGCCATGAGGCTGAGGAAGTCTGCGGGCAGCTCGAATTTGGAGGCCTGCAGCGTGGTCTGCACAGGCTTGGCGGCCAGCGGCTGCTCCTTGTGCCTGTGCAGGTTCTGGGGCTCGGCCACCACCGCCTGGGTCAGCACCTAGAACTCTTCCGGGCTCTCCTGATCAGGACTGGAAGCAGGGCCTTCTGGAACCCGATGGCCTCAAAATACTCGTGCGCCCCCTCCAAGCAGTTGATGCGCTCCGGGAACAGCTTGTTCTGCAGCTTGATCTTCGGTACTTCTCCTCCTCGGGGTGCAGGTGCAGGTTGTCCAGGTACTTGGCAGTGGTGTCCACGCCCAGCTTCACCCGGACATGGGCTTTGTTGAATGTGTGGATCGTCATGATGGACACAGCCTCTGAGAGAATGGCCTCCTTGATGCTGGCCTCCCGCTGGTCCCTGCTCAGGGTGGCCCCGTGAGCGGGCAGGTGAAGTACACGCCGGGCACTGCCAGGTGAGCTGAGCCCTCCTCTTT